GCCATCCCCATCCATAGCCCTCCCTTTGCCAGGCTGAAAAGGTCAGAGTGGAGAGCCAATTGCACGAGGCCATTGTCCTTTGCTTCATGGGACTCTGTGAGTATATCTTCCCATAGCTTGTGCAACTGGTTGATGCAGGCCAAGGCAACGGAGGAGAGCAGTGCCGTGCAAGTTCAAGCTTTGAAGGCTAAGGACCAATCGGGCGGCTTTTGTTGCTCATCATGTTAAACACGCCAAGCAATTTTAAAACCAGGCTGGGTCCAAGCAGGGTTGCCACTATCGTGCATTGATGGTTTACTCAAGCGCTAAGCCGAAGAGTGCCAACAGAAATCCAGTGCGAGAGCTTACGTGCACCTTTAGCTGCCGGTGCTGCCACCTCCCTTATACATTATTGAACACCGACTTGCGCTGCATCACCAGTGGGAGGACTCAGACGCAAAGCATGGTGGGGCAGCCGAAGCTGAGGTGGATTCCATGCCTCCCAAGGCTTCTGAACCAGCAGCTGCAGAAAAGACTCTTGAAGAAGCTGTGGCAGGTGAGGGGTTGGCAGACTCCCTCGTGCCAGATCAAACTTTGGAGAAAGATTTAGACGGGCCAGGGTCAAGCGAGGAGACAGCTGAATTGAAGGAAGTGAGCGAAGGGAAGGCAGAAAATCCGGCCGAAAAGAGAACATCCGTGAAGGAGCCTGGAGAGGAACGTACTCTCAGTAGGATTTCAGAGGGGAAGTCCGAAAACAAAGAATCAGGGAGGGGCAGTGGCAGTAAGACAACAGATGTGACTAGCGGCATGCAGACAACCGACAAAGCTGATACGACCCTTAGCCGGAAATATGTGTTTGCGAGTGAGTCACGCGATCTTCAGAACTCTTAACATGAAGCTACTAGGAACAAGTGCATCGCTAGTAGGAACAGGTGCCTTACTAGTAGTAACAAGAAGCTATGGCTATTAGGAACAAGTATGAACAAGTGCATTGCTTCTAGTAACAATGTTTGGCAATGTTTGGCACCGAATGGCGTTCGTAGACTTTTGATTGGCTGACCACTGGCATCCATCTAGTCACTCGTCCTTGGCCCAGGAAAGCAGCGGAAGCATCAGAAGAAACCAAGGTTGGTGATTTAAGCCAGGCATTGTAGGTTGGAGGCCATCGCTTTTAGGTTGAATTGGAGGCCATCGCTATTAGGGTGGAGGCCCTCCGTTTCAACATGCATCAACTAGCAGAGATGCGAACGGATCATAAGGGATGTCACATGTAGGCTGTCATGTTCTTCAAGCCTTGGAGGCTTTAATGGAGTAAGTACGCAGTTCACTACCGAACCCCTTTCGGTCTTTTGTTCGACATGTGTTGCTGCACGCCACACATGCAGCAAGCATCCAACAACACTTTATGCTTACCACCAATTGGGCCATCACCCAGACCGCATGAGTTGGCATTATTTATGGCAGGAACGAGAAATGGCCGCGACAAAGCTCCAGGCTGCTTGGCGAGGAAAGTTGGCAAGAAACCAGGTGGCCTTTAAACGCAGGATGAAAGCAGCAGCAAGTCGAATGTCAGCCATTGAGGGTATGGACGATTTGTTGGCCGGATTGTTGGATGAAGAGGGTGAAGAAGATGAGGCCCAAGAAGAGGCAGAAGAAGAGGAGGTGGAGGGGGTGGAAGAGGAGGGAGAAGAAGCTGGTGAGGATGCAGTTGAAGAGCCTGAAGATGCGTTGGATGCCGCGCTAGACGGCCTGGTCCAGGATAAGGTACCAAAGGTTGTTACTGAAGAGGGGAAGGTTCCGCCCATAGCTGGAGAGCCATTGGTACACGAGGCTGATCCAGGACAGCAAGAGGATCTTCCGCCAGACAAGGTGCAAACAGAGGCTGGACATGGAGGTCAGGATCATGCAGAGCCCGAGGCGGACGCTCCAGCTGAAGAGAAGAAAAAGAGAAGGAGAAAGAAGAAAATACCAGAGGCAGGCTACCGTATGGGCTATGGTGTTGATATGTGTTGCTCAGTGATCTTGCTACCCGGGACCCGCGTGTTTGTTAATTTGGAGGTATGCAGCGATGATTTTGAGGATTCTGTTGTAAGATGTGGTAGGTTTGAACAATGTTTGAACACTGACTTGCGCGGCGTCACCAGTGGGAGGACTCAGATGCAAAGCATGGTGGGGCAGCCGAAGCTGAGGTGGATTCTATGCCTCCCAAGGCTTCTGAACCAGCAGCTGCAGAAAAGACTCTTGAAGAAGCTGTGGCAGGTGAGGGGTTGGCAGGCTCCCTCGTGCCAAATCAAACTTTGGAGAAAGATTTAGACGGGCCAGGGTCAAGCGAGGAGACAGCTGAATTGAAGGAAGTGAGCGAAGGGAAGGCAGAAAATCCGGCCGAAAAGAGAACATCCGTGAAGGAGCCTGGAGAGGAACGTACTCTCAGTAGGATTTCAGAGGGGAAGTCCGAAAACAAAGAATCAGGGAGGGGCAGTGGCAGTAAGACAACAGATGTGACTAGCGGCATGCAGACAGCGGATAAAGCAGAAGCTCAAAGTGAGGCTCAGGGATGTTGGCTTTTGTCACGCCATGCATCATCATGCCCGCACCTATTTCTTCAATTGTCAGAACTGAGCCACCATGGTCAGTGTACATCTGCTAAACTGACAGGACGAAAACATCGGCTTTGGTGTGAATGGTTAATGTGGTTGTTTTTGTGCAGGCCACATAAACCCAAGTCATAGATGCATCAAAGTCGCAACCATTATTGGCACAAAGCCCGGAGTCGGCTTGCTTATATGACATGTGGAATCGCACAATGGTTCCTAATGCAATTTGGACTACACACCTGGAATCTTGTGTGTGTGTGTGTGTCCATCCTCCCCCAGTCATTCCTGCAGGGACAAGAAGCTGCCGCAACTGAGCAGAAGGCTGTTGGGGATGAACGAGTCTCAAAGGGCTCGATGTCATCAGGGAGACCAAAGGAGGCAGAGATTGGCAAGGAGATGGATGGAGAGCTCAAATCGGGCAGCCGTGCAGGGAAGGAGGAGGAAGATCCGGCACAACTGGAAGAAGCTCAAGGAGAAGACGAGGAGGAGCCAGAGGAGCCAGAGGAAGTGGATGTTTTTGAGTGCAAGGCTGGAACAGACATCAAGGAGCTGGGATTGATGCCTTCTGCTTTTGCTCCGGATCCGGTTGAAATTGCCTCGGTGACTCCAGACTCGTGGGCCGCGAAGTCGGGAATTGAAGCTGGCGACGTGTTGATTAAGATCAATGGGACTGCAGTAGAAGCCATGGACCGAAAGGAGATGAAGCGTGCAATGCGGGACCGCCCATTGTCTCTGACCATCTCAAGGCAGGCTTTCGCGACGCCCGCGGAGTCTATAGATGACATGGAGACGATTGAATGCACGGCTCCTGAAGGTGTTCAAGACTTGGGATTGTATCCCTCGGCGTTTCCTCCAGAAGCCATGATTGTTGCAAATGTGACGCCGGGCTCATGGGCTGAAAAGCAGGGAATCGAAGCTGGGGATGAGCTGGTTGAAATTGGTCACCAGCAGGTGCAAGACATGACAACTAAGGAGACCAAGCGTGCTATGCGCGATCGTCCGCTGCATTTGGTCTTTCAACGAGTCCAGGATCCACCGGCCTCAGCTCCTGCCTCATCTGCTCCCACTTCCGAACGAAAATCTCAGAAGCCAGCCCCAGACATGACACAAGCGACGAACGAAGCTCGGAAGTCTGCAGCAATTCTGCCCGAAGGATTCAACCCTGCATCCGACAGGAGACCCAGCTGCACGGAATTTCGCGGGCTGCAGGCATAGGTTCCCCTATATTGTCCAGGTCAGTATCGCATCAATTCGCATCATATCACACCATGTCGGCATGATAAGCATGGACGCAGTTGCACATCCAGGGGCGGCAATGCACGTTGTTCTCCATTTTCCCGGCTCGCCCTAGCCCCAGGAAGAAAAGTGCATCATCCAGAACATCAAAGCCAAATATCCAAGAGGAGGCGTTTCCATTTGTTGAGTGCGCCTCTCTTTTGCTGGAAAGTTGTCCGATGTGTTTGTCAGGTAGCGGTGCAGGAGGACGGGGATGGTTGGGACGACGACGACGACGATGACGACTGGCAACAGCCTAAGCCAGCCGACAAAAAGACAAGCAGTTCCAAGGACAACAAGGCAACAAAGGAAAAGAAGTCTGAAGCCAAAGGTGATAAGAAAGATGTTAAGACTGGGAAGGGTGAGAAAAGCAAGCCAAGCGAGAAAGCCAAAGAGAAGGAGAAAGACAAGAGCAAAGAAAAGGAGAAGATGGAGAAGCCAAAAGAGAAAGGAAAGGATGCAAAGGATACCAAAGACAAAGAGAGCAAAGAGAAGGAGAAGACAAAAGAGGAGCCACCGCACGGGGCCTCGGCCTAGTTGCAAAGGTCAAAAAGTTAAGACCTAATCCAACATGTTTTTCTTGTTGAAGCCAATTGTTGCTTGTTGGAGGGGTGCGTGGTGCATAAATTTATAGTTGTTTGTTGTGTGTATTCATATATAATTTCATATATATATATTTGTATAACTATTATGAATGTATACGTACCCCCGCCCCCCGGAGCCAAGTTTTCAATACTGACGGATCAGTGTTTCTAATGAATTTTGAAGGCTGGATGTTATTGTTTGTTGTGAGGGTGACAATATAATATATATATATACATATACACATACAATCATACTTATATATATATATATTAGTTTGTTACTTATTTTTTGTTGTGTTGTGTTTTGTGATTTGTGATGTTTTTGTGTATGCCAGCTTGACCTCAGGCCACTCATTGCCTTTGCCAGTGAGATGGACACCCGCTTGGGCTTCAAGGTGGACTGGCCACCAAGCCCATGCTACGTGACAAAGGTCTTGCACCAAGTGATTGGAAAATAGTAGAGTGGCGCAGCCACCCGCCAAGTGCCGCCCAGCTACCAAGGTGGAAGGCGGTAGTTGGGCCGAGATGATGCAGGCTTGACTGATGTGCACTGCTTTACTTGTCCGGGGGTGGTTCACACAGGCTCTTCTCCGGAATGTTGCCGCAATCGGCACACAGCACCCGTTGCTTTTACAAGCGTGCAGTTGGGAATAATGTTTCGATATTTTTCGCTTTTTCCTGAGTCTGACAAGAAACTATATATATATACTGGTTGTTTCTCTGCCAGACCAGTGCAATGATTAAGTCAATACATGTTGCGAAGAGAGGAACTACAACTTCAATCAACTACAATCATTACTAGTGGCCAGCTGTGGTTGAAAATAAAAACTTTAGCACGAGCACAAGACAGACCAAAGCATCAATCAATCAATTAGCACCGTTACATACAGTTCCCGAATGCGACATAAGCTGCTCGGGACTTTGTGTTGGGCAGGTCAAGGTTGACCTTCGCTTGGACAAGGCTGGTGGCAAAGATGTTGCCAAGATGAGCAAGGACACAGTCTTGGTGGTCGTTTCTCCACGTTAATGTTTTATACATGGATTCTATACATAGTATACAGTCTCGGCACAGGGCTCACTCATGAGAGATCGAAACAAGGGCTTGTCCGAGTTGAATAGTTTTGTATCTTGCCTGCAGGAAAAGCTAAAGAAGCTACTGGATGAAACAAGGCCGCTGCAGCTAGCCTTCGTCAAGGACAAGGCAGCATAGCCTGGAGAGGGCAAACCGACAATTCAAGCACTTGACGGTTGAGCGAGTTGAGGTTGATTCGGCGGGTGACATGTCCTTTGCGCTCTACACTCCCCTTTCCATGGTGCAGATTTGTCCTAGTAGTGATTAAGAATGTTGGGCCACATAGATCACATAGATGTTCTGGCTTGCAGAAGAAGAAGAAACCGCCAAAGCCTGAGCAGAATGACAGTGTGCTGGGCGGCATGTTTGGCTGATCCTTTGCCTCAATAGGTGCTTAGCTTCAAGTGTACATAGCCCACGGTCCTCGGATATCCTCGAACTTTTTTGCATTTTGTGATGGTTTAAAATAGGCTAATACCTTACGTCATCTCATATTAGTTTTCTATTTTATGATGAGTTAGGGGAATCGAGGACAACCACCAGATTTGTTTCATATCCTTTTTTGTGCCTTTTGGGCATGTCAGCACAAAGATGAAAACAAAAAGCCTTTGTCCCATGCGTGTAGCAGAAGCCCAATGCAATTGAATTTCTGTCACTTTGACCTACGTGCCCGATGCTTTGCTGGAATCAAATCAGAGAAGTTTGGATTTGACCCCTTACCTTCGGCATCAGGCCAAGCAAAGTTTTAGCCTTCCGAGGTCGCACCAGAAAGGTGCCTGAAAAAGACTAGCTCTGTGAACACTCTCTTTTTTGCCCTCATCAATCAGCGGCACAGCTAGATCAGCTAGCTACTTTCTTCTCAAAAGAACTTCCTGGCCATGGGCGTGCATGGCTCCGCTGGCTACTTGCGCAGCCAGCGCTGTCAGTATCAGTCATGTCCTTCAAAGCCAAGGCAGGTTATTTTTTCAGCCGTGACGCTGCACTGCTACACTTTGACATGACATTACTTCTGTTGTTCTGTTGTGTCCGATTGTTTTGCTCTTGAAGGGCATTTGCCTAGTGACTACTGTTCTGAATGGTTAACGGAGTGCGTCTTCAAACATGCATTCCTAAGACACACTCAGTGTCAGGTGCCATGCGTGTGAAAAGAACCCGTCGCCAACATTGCCCTTGAAAAGATCCAAAAGCACGTGCCTTGTCACAAAGCAGTGCAGGAGCTTTGGGTAGTGCAGTGACTTGCTCAAGTTAGACTCAGACTTGAAAGGTAGAACGAGAAGAAGACTCACAGACATCGTAGGCAAGATTTGGAAAACCAAGGCATGTGACATATTCATAAGCTTTTGGGACCATGCTGAGCATGATTCGGACATGTTTGCTCAGACATTGAAAGAATGTAAGAGCTTGCGCTGCTGCAGGTCTTCTGTGATCTTTGGCCATATGCGCTGTGGACCCACAGAGCTCACACTAGCATCTAGCCTTGTGATTCAACGCATTCTTGGAGGACCTCCATTTCGATGAGAAAGATGGTAGAGCCAGAACTGAAGATCATAGATATGGAGCTAGATCCAGACTCAAGCCTGGATCCAAATAGGCCAACCTGAGCTATGTGGTAAAGACTCCTCGCTGGTTTCCCTTACCAATGTCAGCAAGGAGGGCACAAGATGCTTTTGCTGCATTGATATCCTGACCCCAGCATACTTTTGTCGCGAAGTGTGTGAAGCGGCCTACTCAAAGTCCCTACGTGTGGCACTGATTGAAACTAACACGGTTGCTGGAAGCACCATGAGTGCTCAGCTGGCTTATCAGGCTTCCTCGGTCTTCTTTGCCTTCACAAAACAAGTCGAACCGCGGCGTTTGTTAGGCTCTTTGCATCCATACAACGGGCATCGAGACGGTGCCTCTTTTCGGATTGCTACTATCCACCCAGAAGAAGCTGATGGAGATTGATGGAACATGATGGAGGCCCAAAACGCTCAATGAAAGAGTTGCAGATGAGTTGTTGGTTTTGAGAAATGATTATTTGTAATGCACTGTCCACGGCAATATTGCTAATTCTGGGAGGTTACCTGAGGATTTACAAGACTGTTTCAGACGACTTGCTTGGTCATAGAGGTGGACAAATGTGCATGGATTCACCAGCAGCATTACGTTGACACTCCCCGTGGTGCCCTGCGGGCCTACGAGTGCAAGAAGCATTTATGCCATCTCTATCCCATGGGTCCTGTAGCAATCAGCTCCCCACATCCTCTCCAAGCCAAGTGTGAGCAAGTAGTACACACGCCTCCTCGCTCAGTGTTATCCTATCGGTTGAAGAGGCAGGATGTTTGCAAACAACCAAGGCACAAATCGTGTGGCCTTTTCCATCGCCGTTGGATGCACACAATGTGGACTTCTTTAGTTTCATAGTCCTTGGTGCGTGCTGCAGTTCTAGTCAAAGCTAGCATACCTTGCTTCCTTGCGTTCCCTGTATGCTTGCTTTAGCTGCTTAACTTCAGCGTGTTCAGCAAGTTCACGTCAGTGAGGCCTTGTCCATGGCCATCCATGGCTTTGTGCAGTTGTGCAGGTATGTCCCGAGAAGAGTGGTGAGTGCGGGCTGCCTAGCTCCAATAATAAGCTCAAAGACAGGTCGATTTAGCAACTAATATTGCAGTAGGGCCAGTTTAAAACGTCATGTGATTGAAGTCAATCCCAACAACCCTTTTCCGGACTTGTGGTGCAGCGTCTAATCCTTTCAAGCTTGAAGGCTCCGACCATGACTCCGGCTGGACCTATTTTACTGTAACTGTAACTGTAGATTTCACTGCATCAAAAGCTATACAAACCGACAGTGGCAATAAACATCAATAAAAACAAGTAGGGCCCATGACTGGCCACACTGATCTCACAGTGAAGTTCAAAAGACTTGTGCATGACATGTTTGCCGACGCTACACTTCGACTACACACGTTGAGAGTTGGAGGCCACGCTAAGACTGAACCAGCGCGATGACCACATTCAAACAAAAGCCATCACATCGGTTACATCAACCTTGGATATGTGCATCATCTAACCCTGTTTGGTGTAGTTTGTCTGTTCAGTTGCTGGAAGGTGTTGGATCCCAGTAAATTGCGGAAACACAATATTGCGCAACTATCGGCGGCATGCAATTTGCACTTTGCAACGGGCAACCACGCTCACTGCCTAACCTCAAGAACCAAATCCCTAGCCGGCGTGGCACCACTTCCCCACAGCTCCATCCTTAGCTACTCCCTATGCACGACACCGTTGCCTTGCAGTCTGATTTTTGGTATCACCCTGAGGAGCATGAAGCCCAAGCCATTGTAGGGCGGCTTACGATTGGCAAAGGATGCAGAAGCAATAGTGAAGCATTCTAAGACCACCTTAGCTTACCAGGCTGCGGTAATGGCGCGACCAGTTCCCTCTAAGAACAGCGTCCGGGCCGTGCTGTGCTTTCGTTAGTCAGATCATCCTCCAGGCAGCGCACCTTGCTACCTACATCCAGCTGTGTATTTGCACAAGTGTCTTAAAGAGCAAACTGGCCAGCGACCTGGCTGAGGGTTCGTGGAGGCCAATCCTACAAGACCTCGGCCCCAAAGCTGTGTGCACATGACGAGATGTGAGGCGTCGTTTGCCACCACAAATGAGGTGCCTAAGGGGAGGCTGCATCTCAGAGTAAGATGCCACGGCCATCCAGGGTTCAAAATACATGCACAGAAGTGCTTCGAGTGCAGAGTTTTGCTGAAACTGAAATAGAGAGGGTTTTGGCGATTGCAGGTGCAGAGTGATGGAGACCTTCAGCCTTTACAGGTTCTGCCGGAGTGTAGCTGATCGCAGAAAGGCACACGTCAGAGCCAAGATCGCTCGACAGATCGGCCAGAATGCACATGCATGCGGCTCAAAGCACTGCACAACAAAAGTGTCCTTGTTCTTCTGCATTCATCAACCCTTGTTCATCAGGCCATCGCGCACAATACAGGCATGTATGTGCATGTGATTGACAAGGGCAGAACTCCAACACTCGGACAACCTGTGCCCCAGTTTGGTTCACTCTTACGCTTGATCGTCATGGGTCCGGCTCTAGGACCGAGCTTTAACTTTTTGCGAGACTGAGATGCTTGCAAGCAGGCATTCTTTCTCGTATGTTCTCAACACCATGTCAAGCCACACCAAATGCTATAGTCTACAATGCCTATGGAATTCAAGAGCGGTCTTTCCCCAGTTCAGTTCTAAAAGAACATAGACTTCTTGGTAGCGCTTGGCCATGCCCATCGGAAGTGCATGTTTCCATGCAGCCCTCTCCAGTGCAAGTGCATCAGCATGTATCAGCCATTTCTCGATCCAGCTTGGCTCAGGCTACATCATTAGCTATTGAAGCAATCTGTTGAACCTTCTGATGTTGACACAGTCCTTGCCTTGCACTGCATTCCATCTATTTTGAGGGCTGGCTGCAAGTTCAGCAAGCCATAGCTGGACCCGTGCCCAGAAGCAGGTTGGGGAAGCGAAGAAACACCCCAACCGAAACCAGGGAAAGAGCAACCCTTTGAACCGTCCCAGCCCGCGAGCAGCTTCTGACATGGCTTGCCAAGGCTTTGTCACAATGTTGTTTGGAGCTGCGAGCAGCGGAGAGCGGCTACAAGCGAACTTGTGTTACCGCAGGCTCAGCCAGGAACTCCATGTATCGTACAACTTATGAAAGTGCGCCGGGTATTTGCAAAGTTGCTGCAGTTGCTGTAGGGCTCCGACCCACACTTGCGAAAGACTGCACATGAGCTGTTCGCCTTTTCATGCTCGGATCCAAGCGACCTGAGCAAGGTAGCGTTGACATCGCAAAGTTCAGCCGTGGACCATGGTTTCATATGGTCAATTGTGGTAATGTTCCTAGGGTTTTTGCCATGCATGTCCAGCTGAAGGCTGTAGCGGCAGGCACAGTCGGGCACATGATCAGGTCGCTCCCA